TGCGTCGGTTTTTGCTGAGCCGAACTTGCTGACGTTTCGCCAATCAGTCAAACTCTGAAGAAGACAACAGGATGATTGGCGAAACGTCAGCAAGTTCGACTCAGCAAAAACCAACGCAGGAGGAATCCAGAAGTTTTGTAAAAAGTATTACAGTAGCCTGTGGAAGTTTCTTTGCTTCTTTGCTAAGCTTCATAAGAATATTCCTTTATTATGCTAGATCTATACCAAATACCGAATATTAAATTGACAAAATTCAATAACTTCCATAAACCATGAAGGTAGCTTTTAGTTTATTTTTTAATTTTAATTTATTTTTTATTTATTAAATTATTATACCGTGTGACACAATAAAGTTGGAACACTCTATAACTTTTCAAATTTGGAAGGGTTAATTAATATTGGCTGAATGTCCAATTTTTTGAAAATATGTAGTCAACTTTGAAATTTGAAATGGCACAAGCTATTTTTTTTGCATTTTTGGATTCAGGGGATCAGTCTACGAAGGCAGGACGATTTTTCTCTTTTTTTTTATAATTTTTGAAAATTTACCGGGCCACCTGATAATGTGAAACATTGTAAATGAAACTTTTCTTTACTTGTCTAATGGAAAATAGCATTTAATGTAATGAACTATTCATTTCTTAGGATAACCTAGATTTTTCAAATAGCACCCTAGTGGGAACAAAGATTTTTTTAAAACCGGCATTTTTTTGCAACATTTTCACACCAAAACTCTCGTTAAAAAAATTGCTCACAGGATGGAAAAAGCCAGATAAGTAAATACATTTTTATGAAAACAAAGTATTACTTAGGTGGCTTTGCTTCTATTCATCATCAAGTCGGCATGGTTCAAAATTCGGATAGTTTGTACATTTTTATCTGATTATCGATTTTGTCATTTACGAACGAATAATCAATTTACAAATGGAGAAAAAGTTGATATGTTTCTGATATACAGGTAATGCAAAAAAAAACTCTGGACAGCCCCCTGCATTGTATGCAGCCGACTATCTGGAACGTGGCTTTCCTGCACATTCTTTCTTTAGAAAGCTGGAATTGTAAATGAGAAATCCACAAAATCATTGATATTATAATTTTTATAAGTGATGAAAAGCAAATCAATGTTGTGGGATACGTCAACGTAAATCTATCTGCGCCGCTAAGAGAATTGGCATTAGAATTAGACATCTCAAGAGAATCAATGAGGAGAATTTTAAAAAAACGCGGCTATCATTCTTTTAGGTATAATTTTCATCAACATCTTTATGAAGTTGACTTAGGCTTACTTAGAAGACTTCGATATTGTAATTGGCTGTTAAATAAACATACAACTTAATTTACAACATACAAACTTAATTTTGTTCACTGATGAATCACGATTCTCAAATAATGTTATGTTTAGCCGACAGAACAACACATACTAGCGTTTAAATAATCAAAGAATTATTCGTTCCAGACAGTTTCAAGAACGGTTCAGAATCAATGTTTGGGCAGCAGTCAAATTATTGCACTTGCTTTTTTTTCCATAGTGCCTTAACTGGAAGAAATGAAATTGAAGACTTGTTAGATGATCTCAACACAAGGTCCAGTCAATTGGCCCCACGGTCACCGGACTTGACATCCTTAGATTTTTTTTGTTTGGGGGTACGTGAAAGACCATATTTATGTAAACCCAGTGTTCGACTTACAAGAATACAAGAATTACAGTGGACAATATCGGCTGCATTTGATAGTATAACTCCAGAAATGTTAGGAAGGGTTACAGCGTGTGTAATATGTATGTAATATCTATCGCACTTATTTAATTCATAATAATCCATAATAAATGAATGTGATGTTTTGTGTCAATGTAAAACTTGTCTCACAGTAACACACGTTGATATACCATTTTGAAATCGATTCTACCGACATTGTTGGGGTTTTATTTTTTAACGGATTTTCAAAATATTGTGTGTAAAAAAAGATTCTATTCTCTTGTGCCTCTGAGTTTCCGGTAATAAGTGATTTTAGCTTATGACGTACGTATACATACAATAGCTACGTTAGTTTTTGACTGTATCTCCGTATTCCAAAAGCATATGAACTTTTTACCATAATAAAAAACTTTCAACAAAAAATTCCCTTTTATTTTTTAAAAAATACTAATCTGTTTTTTTCTTTCCACTGCATGAGCTTATAGAGAGTTTCGTCTGCATTTTAAATCTCATCGACTTGAGAATTAATAATGAATAGAAGCAAAGCTACCTAAGTAATATTTTGTTCTTAAAAAATGTATTTACTTATCTGGTTTTTTTATTGCTGTGAGCTCATTTTTTTAAGGATTTTAAAGATTTGGATGTTAAAGTGTTGCAAAAAAAGTGCCGGTTTTAAAAAGTTCTTGTTTCCACTACGGTGTCATTTTAAACAACTAGGTTATCCTAAAAAGTTCGCTGCATTAAATGCAATTTGCCATTAGACAAATAAAAAAAGTTTCAATTACAATTTTTCCCATGTTCATGTAAATAGTATTTAGGATGGCCTCCTAGACTCCTCCTACACAAAATTTTCACAAATAAAAAAAAAATAAAAAAAAAGAGAAAAACCGTCCTACCCCGCTTAGAATGATTGTTATTAAAATTCGAAAGTTGACAACATATTGTCAAAAAATTGGACATTCAGCCTACATTAATCCTTCCAAATTTTCAATCGCTATCTCAAGCAGTTTAAAAGTTATAGAATGTTCCCACTTTCTTGTGTCACCCGGTATATTATTAAATATTATTTATTTATTTATTAAAACCGCTTAACCATCATAGGTGATCAGTAAAATGTTCGTTAACATGTTTTTTTTTTTAAATTAAATGAAAAGCAAACTTGTAATATTATTTAATATAAAAAAACACTTTTTGTAGAAGTTTTTAACACCCCTTTTTTTCAACAATGACACATTATTATTGTGTAAGCTTTGTTTACATATAGGAATTTGTAAATTAAAATTTACTTCTTATTTATTACTTATTATTGGACGTTTTGCTTAGTAAATAGTAGTAGTAAATATCTTGTCACTCGATTTGGCAGCTTTTATTTTATCCAAAACCTTCTATATATTAGAACTATTACTATATTTGCGTATATCCTTCTAATAATTTAAATAAGAAAATATCTTATTACTATTAGCTAAAATTTTTTGTGCAATCAGCAATAGCGAACATTTTCAAGGAACTACGAACAAATTAATGAAAGATATATCTCAACAAATCTTGTGTTAAAATTTGTTAGGCACAACCTTCAAAATGCAAAAAGAAACTGTAATTACAATAAAATCAAAATGCAACACTAATATAGAGTAAAAAATAACTCAGCTACATTGTTCCCTATATGTTTGGGTATCTTCTTGTTAAACTGAACCCATTTAAAACTTCTTTAAAACTACTGGGGCTTTTGTTGAACACTTTTGCGGCCTTCTATGGTAGAAAGTTTAGGTATCCCAAAAAGGTCGAAATGGTAAGAAGAAATGCGATCTGCTGTAATTGACCATTTACACGAGTTCTAAACGTTTTTAAATCTCCTTTTATCAACCTGAAGAAGGGCAGGGAAAAAATCTATCTAACAGCCCGAGCAAAGGGCGGTCTTATATATACAGGGGTCTCACATTTGATAGAACTTTAGATGTTTCGGAAAAACGAGATGTATTAATTTGTTGAAAATTTAGTGACGTAGGTTTTTGAAAGCATTGGAAAATATCGACAGCTTTGTTTTTTTTTAATGAAACATCCTGTATATCGTTCCATTTTCTCGAAGCTGTTACTTTATGATAATTTCTGTAAAATATTCATTTTCTAATTTAAATCCTTATTCCTTGATTTGTTGAACAGTTGGAAAGCTAAAATATTGACCACAATTTGCCAGAATCCCGCGTAGTTGCCAGTACATTAACAACTTCTTATCAACTTATTATCAAATGCTTTGACAGAAAATTAAAATCAACCTCTTAAAATTCATATATCATGTTCCTATATCTAAGTGGAATCTAATTATTTGACAATTTGTAAGAACAAGGCAGCCACGAAATGTCATGATTTTCAAAAAATCAACCGAACGTTGAGATGTATTTCAATTAAAGGCAATGGGAGTCCGGAATGGAATGGATCAAATATTACAACAGTAAACTAACCACATAAGACTTAGTTGGATAGTTTTAAATAATAAATAATATTTCAAAAGTGTCATCAATAAAGTTTATCGACTTATATTTTTTTCATGAGAATATATTTTAGATTATTTGAAATTGCAAAAATTTTCGGGTACCCTTATACCGTTAAAAATTCGGTACTGCCATGATTCCTCGAACCGCCACCAATAACGATCACGGCAAAACAGCAAATGACAAGCGAATATCGCACAACGACGTCCATTGTCGACTTTAACCGTCGCTGTGTTGCATTCGCATTCCGCGGGCCCAACCACTTTGTTGTGGGTAAATTAACTGAGGCAAATCAGATTAAAACGCGACGTGTGGGGCACCACGGCCGGTGCGTCTCGCGGATTTTGCACCGCGCGACTTTTTCCCCATTTGGAGGAACCGAAATTAATATTGCCGCGCTGATCCTAGGCGCTTTCGTAATGGCCGCTCGTCGACGATCGAAATTGGTCCGGTAATATGATCGATTTCGGTCGCATGGCGATCGGAAATGGTCCGATATTAACGTCGATTTGTTTGAGTTATTACGGGCAGCGTACCGATACCACCCAGTAGCTCACGACGATGGTCTACTGCCTTATATGGCATACAATAAGTCCTGTATTTCTGTTGTTTACGTTGTTTTCCTTTTGTTCTGATTTCTAGACGCGAAGACGTTCGTCTGAAGGCGGAGGTATTTGAGTCGATTTTGATTTTACCGGGTATTTACATGCTCTAAGTGACTTTTCCTGTAGCCACAACTCCAGATTAAATAATAATAATAATAATAATAATAATAATAATTTACCTGACACGAAAGCACATTGACACGAATGTGCAAATGACAGATGGCGACCAGAGGCGAGGTCAGGTATCCCGGTGTTTACCTGGATACGAGGCTGACGTTCTGGTCGCACATCAGGCGCGCCGTAGACAAGGCAGCTTTATGGCAAACACGAGAGGACCAAAACAGAAGACGCGACAACTACTGATGACAGTAACCCACTCGATTCTCCTGTACGGAGCCGAGATATGGGGAGGCGCGATGGAAGTAAAGAAATACCGACAGGCCATGCTGTCGGTGCAAAGACGAGGGGCTCTTCGTATCGCGTGCGCGTACCGAACAGTCCCCGAATCGGCGGTGTTAGTTATCGCCGGTGTGATTCCCATAGACCTCTTAGCTCTTGAGAGAAAGAGTGTCTACGAGCGTATTATGGAACTGGGCAGGGCAAGGGCGTCCAAAGAACCACGCAACGTGACGATGGACGACTGGCAGACTTGATAAACTAACGGCACGGACTCCACTTGGACGAGGAGACTAATCAGAGACGTGCGACGGTGGAAGGAGAGGGACGGGGGTGAGGTGAATTTTTACCTCACTCAGTTCCTCTCCGGACATGGATACTTGCGGTATTACCTCTGCCGCATGGGTAAGGTAACGAGCCCATGCTGTAAGTACTGCGGAAAAGCTGACAACGTGGAGCATACAGGCAAAGACTCGAGACGTTAACTGTACCGATTACGCTAGACAACGTGATTGACCTGATGACGTCGACAACGGAAAATTCGGAAAACTCGCAGACGGCTGCCTAGAAGACTAACGAGACAACACGTGACGTGTTGACTAATACTGCACGGAGAAATACAGGAACGACAGATACGAACGCCACGTGGCACAGACACGCCCCTTAGCTGGAAGTAATGTGAACAACAGTTCCCAGCTAGGTGGTGAAGACGAAGGGTTTGCTGTGTTTAGCCGGTAAGAATCCGGCACTCCCAACGGGTGCGCATCCCCGTCGGGGTCTTCCCATTATGTGGGACAGTCAGCACGCTAGAGCTGGTGTTTGGCTGATGTAAGATTCCCAGCGTTATCCCTCGGAAAAAAAATAATAGTGGTAATAATAATAATAATAACTTAACCTCAGAAAACTCCGCTACGCCAGTCCCAAGCCTGGGGCCTTGCCACACAAGGGGCAAGGAAGGAGGAGGGATCGAGGAGTAACACCTCGCTAAAAAACCTAGGTTCAGCTGGCCCCGGCTGATAGCACCTTGTAAGGGACCCTTGTCCAGGGTTACGGATGAAGACCACACCGGCGGTGAAGGCGAAGAAGAAAGCTTCGATTCGGCGGAATCGGCGTAAGTGGCAACCTAGGCTTCTAGGGGTAAATTCAAAGCACCGAATGACTGCCGGTATAAGCAGTCCCCCCCTGTCGGTCAACAGCTTCGGGTGGAAGAACTGAGAGGAGTCGGGGCACTCTCTTGTCCCAGAAATGAGAAATCGTTTCAAAGGCGGAAGAACCAGCAGATGGTCAACGGCAGGGGAATGCAGAAGGCAACGGGAAACCACTGCATTAAAGATCTCTCTAGATATTCCCAGGATATTCATCCGATAAACTCTTATCATGTTGGAAGCTCAAACACAAATGGCCTCCAGTCCCGGGCAGACCTTAAATGGTCAGGAGGTGTGAAGAATCCCCCGGTTCCAACTGGATAAGATAACGAAAATAGCGACCTGGAATGTTAGAACATTATTTGCAGCTGGAAGGCCCGATAATTTGATTCAAGAAATGGACAGAATGAAAATAGAGATCCTTGGAGTATGTGAGGTCCGATGGCCTGGAAGTGGAATGGTCAAATCAGGAGGAAAAGTCTTCTACTACTCTGGTGACAATGCTAATCGTAATCAACACGGTGTTGGTATCTTGATGAACGAGAATCTGCAGAAATCTATGAAGTGCTTTGTCCCAATCTCCGAGACAGTGGCTCTCGTCCAGATACTTGGCAAGCTTCTAAACATCAATATTATCCAGGTTTACGCTCCGACAGCAGACAAACCTGAACAAGAAGTCGAAGACTTCTATAAACAAATAGATACGGCCTTGAAACTCACAAGGACTAATGAAATAAATATAATTCTTGGAGATTTTGAAGCCAAAGTTGGCAGGGGCAGGACGGGGTCAGTGGTTGGCGACTGGGGTTTGGGTGAGAGAAACAACAGGGGCGAAGGGCTGGTTCAGTACTGCGAGGAAAACAATCTTATGATCGCAAACACATGGTTCAAACTCCCGGCAAGACGACTATACACCTGCAAATCCCCACAAGACAATAATTATCACGTTGTTCGAAATCAAATAGACTACATCATAATTAACAGAAGGTTTCGAAATTACATCACCAAAATTTCTACAATGCCGGGTGTCGATATCGCATCAGACCACAGCCCGGTGTGCGCCAACATTGTTCTACGTCTAGCCAAACCTAAGGAAGACATTCGACCTACAAAAATTAAAAGTTGAAAAAACAAGACTATCATATGAGGACCATCTTAATAAAGAACTAGAAAACGTTGTCAACACCAACGACACTGACAGGTACTGGCTCGATCTCAAGCGAGCCTTTACAACCACAAACGAAAAGTTTCTCTTGAAAGAAAAAACAACAAGTAAAAACAAGTGGATGACCGAAGATATCCTAAAACTGATGGAGGAACGAAGGCAATGTAAAACCCAGAACGATTACAACAGATATGGAGCTCTGCAAAGACGAATACGAAATGAGATCAGAGCGGCAAAAGAGAAATGGCTACATGAAAGATGCCTAGAGGCCGAAGGCCTTTGCAGGCTTGGGGATAGTTTTCACCTTCATAAAAAAGTAAAAGAAATAGCGGGGTTATACAACAACAGACCGCTTAGCCTCATTAAAAACCAACACAATGAAATAGTGACAGAACCTGAGGAATTGCTGCAGGTATGGAAAGAATACACAATTCGTCTTTTCAACGACGATAGACCAGATAATCCCCCAATAGAGATATCTACTCTCTCAGGACCGAGCATACTGAGGAGCGAAGTCACACATGCCATCAAGCTGATGAAAAATAACAAAGCTCCGGGCCCCGACGATATGTTCTCAGACACGCTTCATTTAGTCAGCGAACAAAACTTGGAAAAGATCGTGACACTTTTTAATAACATCTATGATTCCGGACACTTCCCAGCGGATTGGCTCCGCTCTACGTTCGTTGCAATGCCAAAGGTGAACAGCGCAACATCATGTAAGGATTATCGTCTCATTAGTTTAATGAGCCATTTTCTAAAACTTTTTCTCCGAATACTTCACACAAGGCTCTATCGGAAATGTGAGGAAGTGAGTGGGGCTAGTCAGTTCGGATTCAAGAGCGGGTTTGGAACTAGAGAAGCCATATTCAGTCTTCAGACGTTGGTCCAAAATTGCCAGGATCAAAGAAAGGATGTCTTTATGTGCTTCATCGATTACGAGAAAGCGTTCGACAACGTTAAACACGACCTTCTGATGACATACCTTGGAGAACTGGGACTAGATGGAAAAGATATAAGGTTGATCGGTAATCTGTACTGGCACCAGAGAGCGGAGGTTCGAGTGAGCAACGCTGGAACAACCGAAGATTTCGAAATCAAAAAGGGCGTTCGTCAAGGATGCATCCTGTCCCCCATGCTATTCAACCTATACGTAGAAAAGGCATTCTCCGAGTCCATCTCGGGTAGTCCTCTTGGTATCAAGATAAACGGAATCGCCATCAACAATATCCTGTACGCAGACGACACCGTGATATTGGCAGACAATGCACAGGATCTCCAGAGTCTGCTAACGCAGGTCAATGAAGAAAGCACAATATTAGGCTTAAAAATTAACATCAGAAAAACCAAGGTTATGATCGTTAGTAGGAGCGATATTCCTAATGCGCGAATACATATCAATGAAGAAAACATCGAACAGGTCACACAATTTAAATACCTGGGATGCATGATCAATAAAGGATGGGACCCGGATCAAGAGATAGGATGTAGGATCGAACAGGCTAGGACAACCTTTTTGAGGCTCGGAAAATTCATTACAGACAAGAACTTGAACTTTGGCCTCAGATATAGAATGGTGAAATGCTATGTCTGGTCCGTCCTCCTATATGGTGTCGAGGCATGGACACTGAGGGCACAAACCATCAACAAAATTGAGGCTTTCGAAATGTGGATTCTACGACGTATGTTAAGGGTGTCTTGGGTCGATTACGTGAGGAATGAGGATATCCTAAGAAGAGCCGGCCTGGCAGAGGCGAGAACTATTCGAGAACATCAAGAAAAGGAAAACAGGATATCTCGGACATATAATCCGAGGAGAGCGATACCACTTTCAGCGTCTCATTCTTCAAGGCAAAATTGAAGGAGGAAAAAGGGGAATAGGCAGAAGAAAGTTATCGTGGCTAAGAAATATCCGACAATGGACAGGGATAAGTGACTTCCAAACGCTACAGAATGCTGCAATTAACAGAACCATCTGATAAGAAGGCGATGAACGCCCACGCAGGAATCTGCTTGGCACCTGAAGAAGAAGAAGAACCTCAGAAACAAAAACCTTAGAGAAATTATCTGAAAATCTGGCTAGGGAAAGAATTGCATGGTCGATACATTGCGTGCCCAGGCAAAATCACATTAGACGAGAAAGCTTCGGTGGTCTGGTTGAAGGAAGGACGACTGTTTCTCGAGACGGAAGGATTTGTATGTGCCATCTAAGATCAGGTATTAGAAACTTGGAAATACCAAAAGTACATAATGAAATTAGGAATAGCATCCGACAAATGCAGCATGTGTGGGGATGAAAACGTTAACAAATACTTACCATTAGCCAACAAAATCAAAGTAATGTGGGATCAAGACAGCGTAATCATAATTCCAATCATCCTCGGAGCCACTGGTTGAAGTCCCGCACGCCACATTGAGAAGCCTAGTTGACCTGAAAATAAGAGAAAGTACAATCACCATCATGAAAAAAATCATTCTGATAGAAACTAGGAAAAAACGAACTACCTTCCTGCAGACTAACTCAAAGTCCAACCAGCTTTTTGTCCTTGTGCGAGAGCATCGGAAAACATAATATTAATAATAATAATAATAATAGTCTTTAATGAGAATTGAAAATACACATAATTACACATAATACACAGTATACAATAAAAATCTCAACTGGCGAAGTCTAGCTGACTAAGTCAGCTATATGCTAAATACCTTTTTGACAATACAATTTATAACGTGAGAACCCGTAAAGAAAAATAAAATATAAACAAGAAAAAATAAAGTAATTATAGAAATAATTCTGTGATTAATTAAAAGACGAAAAGCGCCTTTAATGGTCTTTCGAAACAGTTTTATGGATGATAGTAATGATTAAAATTTTTTGCCGAGCAAACCCCCGCACGTAAATTATTCACTCTAACATTTACTTTGGGGGGAGGGGGGCCTTTAAGATCTT